GGGGGAGGAGCGCAGGAAGTGGCCAGGATTTCGGGCCAGGAACAGGGGGGGTGAGTGTGATGGCAGGGGTGAAAAGAGGCAGCAAAGGGAAGGCAGGCAGGCGAGGCATCCACATGTGAGACGGCGCAAGAGCAGCTGCGCGGCCATGCGGTACACGCACGGTATACTCCGAGTGGATGAGCAGGTCCTTCAGCTCCACCAGAAGGGTGTACGGGCGAGCGTACTCCGGGGGCGGCAGGTCAGGCAGGAGGTTGCCCTGCAGGGGGTCGTTGAAGTACTACGGGGCCGGGTGTCAGGAGCACAAGCGACAGAGCGAGAGGCGGCGAGGCGGCCAGGGAGGCGGGGTGACACAGGGCGCACGTGGATCAGACCGTTGAAGCGGTTGCTCACGCGCTCCTTCATCGGGAGGAGCGGGGGGGGCAGGGGAGTGCCATCGTTGGAGAAGGTGACAGGGTCTGTGTGGGTGTGTGGGTGTGGTGAGAATGTGAGTGGATCATATCCACGGATGGAGGGGGGCCCCGGGCTGGTGCGCGCATTGCCATGCCGAGGGGCAGGAGCAAAAGGAGGGGAGGGAGAGACGCACCCTTGGAGGGGGGGGCGCCATTGCGGAAGCCGATGATCTCGTCAATCATCGTGGTCTTCTCAGACACTGGGAGACACGGGGATAAGGAGGGGGGCGGGGGGAGGAAGAATCAGCAAACAGCCCGGGAGCTGGTCAACAAACGGCGCAAGGTGGGGGGGGGGGGGCGGGGGAGGGCGGTGACATGGCGGTGGCATGGCGGTGGCGTGGTCTCGCCACGCGTGGGACATACCGAAGAGGTCGGCCACCTGGGCCGTGAGCAGGATGGTCATACCAAGGAAGAAGACCTTGGTCACCTTCAGTGCGGTGCTGTTCTTGTTCTTGGCCGCGCGGGCGGCCTTCTCGATGGCCTGCTGCTTGGCCAGGGCATCAGCCTCGGCGATGGAGGGGAACTCGAAGAGGCCGGTCGAGGGCTTCTTCGAAGCGGCACCGGCGCCGACGTCAGCGGCCGCGGCCGCGGCACCGGAGGGGGGAGGCGGGGCAGCGGCGCCAGCAGCGCCGGTACCAGCGGCCGGCGGAGGCGGAGCAGTGGCGCCAGCGGTGCCGGTCGGGCCGGCCGGAGTGTTGGGCCCGGCAGTGGAGTACGCCCGGTTGGGGGCATTGCGGCGCAGCAGCGCCTGCGCGTAGCGGCGGCAGAAAAGGGAAGCCATCTCGGGGAGCGTCCGGCGGCGGCGGCAAACCCAGCGCCTGGGCAAGAGGAGAACGAAAGCGAGGGAGGGAGGGAGGGAGGGAGGGAGAGAGAGAGAGAGAGAGAGAGAGAATCGGAGCGCGCGGGTGTTGGCGGCTGTGTTAGGAAGGAGCCTGGCAGGAATGACGGGGGACAGGGCAAAGGGCAGGGGCGAAGGGCAGGAGCGAAGGGCAGGAGCGAAGGGGGTACTTGCTGTGGGAGCTGTGTGGGAGGGGGGAGGGGGGAGGAGAGCAAGAAAGGGGAGGGGAGGGGGATGCAGGCGAGCAGGAGGTGTCCTGCCGGGGAGACGACGCCGAGGCACATCAATCTGTCACGAAACCCCCCACAAGGACTGTCCAGCACTGGAGAGGGAGGGAAAACGCGCGCGCGCGTTGCGCACGCGACCCCCCTCCCCGCCTGTGAGGGGGGGGGGGGGGGGGTCGCTGGCCCGCGAAGAAGGAGCCAGATGGACACGAGCCGCCGCGACACGCGCACCGGGCCCGATACCGCGGCTTCTGGTCTTGCAGACAAGTCCCAGAGGGGCGCCAGCCGGCAGGGAGGGGGGCATAAATGACTTGTTCGGCACACCACCGCCCTTGCCTGCCCCCCGCCCGCCCCGCCCTCCGGGGAAGGTGTGGCCCGACGGGTCGACCACATGCCAGGGAGCTGGTCCGGCTTCGCGGCGCAATGCTGAACCACGTGTGTATTTTGTCCTGGGTCTCGTGATCGCGCAACCCTGCCGGGCGCCTCGCGACACGGCCCCACGGTGCTCCTCGGGGGTAATTGATCCGCGTAGCCATGAATGGGCAGAACGCCCGCCTGATCAGCTGGCTCTCTTGCGCCAGGGGGGCCGGCATCTCTCTCTCTCTCTCGAAGGCTCGGGCGAGGGGGGAAGGGCGGAGCGTTTGCGAAACACCCCCCCCCCCCCCCCGATGTGAGCGAGCGTCCGTCATTTGCCTTCTTCATTCCCGAGAGGAGCCTGCACGGAGGGGAGGGGGTCGACGGCGCGAGGACCCCGCGCCCGGGGACCCGGCGAGCATCCGCCCGTGGTGGGGCTCGCGCGGCGGCCTGCCCCCACGTCCTCGCCCCTGTGTCCTGCCTTCGTCAGGCGCATTTCCCCGGCAAGGGCAGCCCCCTCTACCCCGGGCAGCGCGCACTCAAGCCGGGGGGGGGGGGGGGGGGGGGGGCGGCTTCCCGGCGAGTGTGATGCCCCTGGCCCGGGGATTTGGGGGGAGGGGAGGGGGAGAAAGCGGCCAGAACGGTCCGCCGCCCCAAGTGCCCGTCGGGCGGGGCATCTGCCTCGCACGGGCGGGGACGAAACGTGCCGGCGCCGTGGCAGCGGGCGCAAGCTACCGGGGGAGCGTCCGGCCAGCCGCATGCCGCGATTGCAAGGACAACGAACCGGCACCGGGACGGGCTATCACCCCTCTCCTCCGGGAGGGGAGCCCCCACCGCGCAGGACAGAACATGGCCTCGTCCGGCGCGGCCGCCCCGCACCACCACGGGCCCGACACCATGCGAGCGCGCGCGCGCGCTAGTGCATGCACGCTCCCCGGGGCGCCTCGTGCTCGGGGGAACACGCCTCTTGGCGCCTGTCGAGTGCGGCGCCCGGGGGTGGGGGGAAACCCAGCATGAAGGATCTCTGGCGGGGAGGGCCTGGCGCGTATGGGGCGCGCCCCCCTCTGCCTTGCAGACATGGGGTGGCTCCGACAAAGGGG